AGTTGTAGGTAAAACAAAAACATGTAGTTGAAGAACAAGAAAAAGTTTGGATCAATTGTTGAGGCCGAAGCGCAATCACACGCCGACCGACCACACACACACACACAGTCACATATAATTTTATTGTCTTTGTTTTATATTGTATATTTTTGTATAAATTATGTGATTATAAATTATTATGTAATATGTGTACTATCGCGATATTATTATTAAACGGCCGCCGTACGCATCATTATTACGCGTTCACGCATATTACTATGGTAATTACTGGTCAGTCGCGAAAAAGTCGTACACACGCACGCCGGTACATCGCATAAGTGCTGAAATAAATATTGTTCTTTTCGGTGCGAATCACCATATTTAAATTATTTTAGTAAATCTGACATTTACTCTGTAATATAAATTATATTGTTATTTTGTATTATTATTCAGATTATTGTAACTTCTTACGTGTGCGAAGAATATTGTTAAATTATCACAGTGGTTCTATCTGTTAATTTGTGTGTGTAATAATATTATAGTATTTAAGTACAGGTAGCAGCTGGCCAGCCGTGCACCGACAAAACTGTGAGTCTTATTTGATGCCTATTATTACTGTTTTACCTATTTTACATATTTAGTTGTTATGCCATAAGGGTTATATTTATTGTTATATTTTGTCGTGTCCTAAGGGCCGTTTAATATTCTATAATATTATATACGAGCTTTACAGCTCAAATAGCTGTTCATATTATAATTATTAGGTCAATCTTGAATTATTGAACATTGTTGTGATTGCATAATATACCTAAATATACTTATATTCTGTAATTTCATACAAATGTATTATTTCTATTATACAGCAACTAGCTATTTACCAGCAATCGTGTTATCATTTTTTAATTTTAGTTTAATATTTGTACACACACCCACATAGATACACACTCACACATCCATACACACTAGCACTCTCCGGTCTTGCTCGGCGAACCCGTCCACCTCCGGTGAGTAGCTATACATATATACACAGGTCGGTAGGTGTGTGGGTGCACGCGCGGAGTATCTGGTGACCGGGCATCGCGGACTATCATCGTTCGTTCCCGGCCCGTACATCAATAATAAACGCATTAATACAACAATGAATGAAGTTAAAGATGTTGCTATTAAAACTGAAGGAGATATTCAAAAATTAAATATACCATATTATTATCAACCAAGAAATCCAGAATTAAAACGATTAACCAGTTCAGAAGAGACTTCTGGAACTCCAAAACGTTCTAGTCAAAAATCAACAAGTAATTCTCCATTACCTAAAAATGTTATAAACTTAGGTCCTACTGCAACAAGTTATTAACCATCTTTAAAAGATACTAATTCTTTTGGAATATATAATAATGATAAAGATGATATTCATATGATTGGAAAAGATAAAATCAATTTTGATAATGATGATATAATTTTAAATGGAAATAGATATAAAGGAACTCAATGTTTGTGGAGATTATTAACTCATGTAGATCCTACCAAACCAGAAGTTTATACAGATGATGATTTTAATAATTATAAAAATATATTAATTGAAACTGATTCTATATATCATAACCAGGGCTAGTGAGTTCATGCTCTAAAATATGCCTAAATAAGTATGCACTTATGCACTAAAAGCTGGAAAAATATGCATTGAAATATGCCTTTAAAAGTTCAGAAATATGCATTTATATGCCCTAAAAGTCTAAAAATATGTATCAAAAATATGTAGATTAAAAAATAAAAATACTATAAGTAAATTTTGGAATAACAAAAAATGTCCATTCATTTTATTAAAAGTTTATTAAAAGTTATATTTTATTTTATTGCAGTCGGTGAAGTGATGTTTTGTGTTTCTCAGCATTAATATGTCGCACAACACTAAAGCGTTTTACTTCTACTTCGCAAACCTTACAAAATAATATTTTATTGTCGGCCGAGAATATATTTTCACCAAATTCCTTTACTAATTGTCTTAGTTTACAGGCCGATGACAGTTTTTTTTTCGGCATGATCGATAATTTCAAAACGAAGTTAAAAAATATATAAGATTTTCGAAATATTGTTAAAGTCTAGAATAAACCAGTAAACCACTGTAAAAGTATCAAGAATATAAGTCAGATAAGACTATAAGAGTAAAGACTATTTTCATATAACATGTTTTCTACTAATTGCTTAATGCGGGCTATTCGTACCTATACATTCGTATACGTACGTTTGTACTCACTTTATCTGCTCTATTTTAATAATTTTATGTTGCGAAAATTTCCATATATTTTATACTGTGTAAAAATATAAATTATTGCATTTTGATCAAATTTCGATAAAAATATGCACAATAAAATAGAAAAACGCATAAATATGCCAAATAGTTAAAAAACCTCTAAATATGCAAAAATATGCAACATAAAATTTCACATACTTAACCACTGTACCTTGAAATGGATTTCTATGTCACCTAGCATTAAATACGACTTAGCAAGATTGATATGCAAATGCATGAACTCACTAGCCCTGATCATAACAATGATATTTCAACTGGTAGAGCTAAATCAAGTGGTGGTTCAAAATATATAGCAATGATTAGTAAGATATGGAAAGAAATGAAAGAAATTAATGAAAAGAAAGAAACTACTGATAAGAAAAATTTAATAAAAAAAAAGAAAATAATGAAATAGGGGAGGGTTTAAAGAAATACAGAGAAGATCGTATTGAATATCCTTATATTAGTAATGTAAACCAAGTGATAGATAATTTACAGTTTATTTCTGCAGAAGAAAGAGCTGGAAATAATAATTTTATAAACGAAAAACTTGGTATTGTTCATTTTTTTAAATCAACTATGGACAACCTTATTGATACTCCTGGTATTGAATATTTACTAAAATATGTAACTTGTTTACCAAAGGAAGTGAAAATAACAAAAGAAGAAATAATAAAACGTATACAGTATATATCAATTGAAGAAACTATAGGAAATAATATTTACCATGATGAAAAACTTGATATTTTTAATATTTGTATTAGAGAAATGGAAAAATTAATTGATATACCTATTAACGGTGCAGATTATTTATCATCATATGTTTCATGTTTACCAAAGAAAACTATTACAGGTTTAGGAATTGTTAATTATCTTTTGAATTGTTCAAATTTACCTCAAATACACTGGCCTTGTTATAATTATTTAGGAATCACCACGAACCTGAGAATACAAAATAGGAAATTTCCAGTTTTTTCGAAAATCAATAAATTCAGATATTGCCCCTTGATTCCAATCATGACTGCAATAATACGTTGCTCGTATCGGTATTATTTCATCCATTTCTTCCGATGTAAAAGTATTTCTTTGATTATTGTACTTTATTTGTAATATTTTATTAAATTGATTGAATATCAGGTGCGTAGCTAGAAATTTCAAAGGGGGGGGGGGGGTTGGGTTGTTATTCAAACTTAAGAGAACGCTAAAACGCGTGTGTTGTCTCTGTCTTACACACGCACGACATAACAAATTGTCGTTCACTGTTTTCAATAGTGAGCTGTTAGTTTTGATACTAGAGTTAATCGACATATTATCAAACTTTTAGGTAAGAAAATTATCTGGGTCTTAGCTTGGGCGATTTTTCGATATTTTCACTTTCGAGAAAAATAAGGGTATGGAAATATCAAAAATTAAAAATGCTCATATCTCGCTTGAAAATTATTTGTTATACAAACGTATTACAACTTACCAGTGAATAGATAATAATTTAGAATAATAGTTCTCTTATACAATATTATTATTAATAAAAAAAAAAAAATAATACACTTTTAAATTAACTTAATGCGTCGACTTTTTGAGGCTAGTGTATCTATTATTTCATCTGTGATTACGACTAAATCTCGATGAATATTCATAACAGCTAAGCCATTCAAGCGATTTTCACCAGTTGTATTTCTTAGATATGTTTTCAAGCGTCTTAATGAGGAAAAAGACCTTTTACTGCTTGCAGTTGTTACAGGTAATGTAATCAATACTTGTAAAAGTCGATAAACAGTAGGAAATATGACGTCTTCGTTGCAGTCAAAGAAGGCTTCGGTAGAATTTTTAGGATTTTTGTTTTTTATATGTTCATACCATATTGCAAACTCACCAAATGCAGATATTTCATCAGCTTCAATATCTGAAGAATATGTCTTAAGAAGTTCTTTAAATTCGGTCTCATTTTTTTCATTTGCATTTATTAAACAAGTAAATTGTTTTAATAGTGATTTATGGTTCAAAACTCTGTCATTTAGTTGCTCACAAAAATGATCCAAAAAAGGTACAAAAATCAAAATCATAAAATAGACTTCCGGTGATTCTGTTGAAATGCTAAAATGATTTGTCTAGTCGAGGTATTGAAATTGTAATCCCCAATGACTTACATTTTTTTTCAACATCCCTGTATATTATTTTGAATTCTTCTGCAGCATTAGTACGCAACAAACATACTGCACTCATAACATTATCTGCAAGTTCCATTGATATGGACAAATCCAAATCTTCTTTTTGAAGTTGACGACTTAGTGGCATACTTAATGAAAACACTTTTGCAAGTGTAACGTATGTTACATCATTACGTTTATTTTATGAGCATTATAATATGCACATTAGGCATATTATGCGCTGACTATAATAATATATTAAGCCCCTCCGGTTTAGGTGACACATATATATTTTATGATTGTAAGGCTCCGGCCAATATCCCTATGTAAGAGAATGGCAGTTCTCCGCGAGTCCATCACGTGCACCTGAACTCCGTACAATCCTACATTTTTGGTAACTTTGTTCGTAAATTGTAAGTTATAATAAATTATTTGTTTGTATTAATAATAATTTAGACCAATCGTTATTTATTTGTAATATTAAGATCCTAATACCATTCGTGCTCCCGAGCTACGGTAAAAATATATTCAAAAGAATTAATTTCTTTCCTGAATATCTTATATTTAACGGGTCATCCCCGACCACGTTACACAAGAATATGAATGGAAAGTACAGTTTCTCCTTGTTTTAAAGAGAAAAGTATACTGCTTGCTTTTGAAGATGTTTCTCTATCAATCCATGTTGAAATAGTTTCTAAAGAGTCAATTATTGATTCAAAAAGTTCCAAAAATACTAGTATTGCTTCATGCCGTTCGACCCATCTTGTTGGGCATAAAGTTTTCAATTTAGTTTTTCTTGAACTTGGAGCATTTTGTCCAACCGAATTTTGCAAAAGAGCCTGTCTTTTAGGTGTGTTAAAGAAACTACAACCTGTCTGAATAATTCCAACAGCATTACGAATTGATTTTATATTACATACATCAGATATAGCTAAGTTTAATGAATGGCTACAACAGTGTATATATAATGTTAATGGGTAAGATTGTTTTATTATTGCTTGTACTCCATTTAATAGCCCTCGCATGGCAGAAGCTCCATCATACCCTTCTCCTCTGAGATAATTTAAGTTAATTCCTAAATTTCCAAGAGATTCAAGCAAAACTTGAGCTAAGCCTTTTCCACTCATATCTGTTACAGGTACAAATTGAAGAAAATCTTCTTTTACATTCTTAGAATCTTTGTCAAAATACCTAATACACATAGAAAATTGTTCTATCCCAGCTACATCCGTTGTTTCATCCCTCAAGATTGTAAAACATTTTGCTTGATTTATTTTAGTGTAACGTGATGGGTACCTCGGTGCCTACTATTGTAGTAATAATAATAGACAAAAGGCTACCAGTACGTTAATATTGCAGGTAGCAGACACTCCTTCAGATGTTATAGTCGTGGTAGATGAATAAATTATATAAATTGTTGTTGTATTATTGTGAATTTTATTATTACACTTCAATAATTTTACTAAGTCCAAATATTGTCATACATAGTGGCGTGAAGGTGCTTGCACTAATGGGTATATTGTATATTGTCTGAATACAGGCCGATTCGGGCTCCCTTATATATGAGGTTCCCCGTACCCCTCGCATATAGATACTGTATCAAGACTGTCACGGATGTAATTTGTGTGGTCATCGTTCCAGCCTACGCATTAACGATTGACGCATTACCAAAATATGATTATTATTAAAATAATCATTTTACTCTTTTATATTTGTATACCATCGTGTTCAGTGTTTCTCTAAATATTAAATCCGACTATTCTTGAACCCTTCATCCTGAGCTATTCAGTGAGCCTGTCTCCTTAGGTTTGAAGGAGGCAACCACAACCCATTTCCGTTCTTAATGTCCGACTATGCCGGTCTACCGTATATTATAATAAGTCCAGGGCTAGTGAGTTCATGCATTTGCATATCAATCTTGCTAAATCGTATTTAATGCTAGGTGACATAGAAATCCATTTCAAGGTACAGTGGTTAAGTATGTGAAATTTTATGTTGCATATTTTTGCATATTTAGAGGTTTTTTAACTATTTGGCATATTTATGCGTTTTTCTATTTTATTGTGCATATTTTTATCGAAATTTGATCAAAATGCAATAATTTATATTTTTACACAGTATAAAATATATGGAAATTTTTGCAACATAAAATTATTAAAATAGAGCAGATAAAGTGAGTACAAACGTACGTATACGAATGTATAGGTACGTATAGCCCGCATTAAGCAATTAGTAGAAAACATGTTATATGAAAATAGTCTTTACTCTTATAGTCTTATCTGACTTATATTCTTGATACTTTTACAGTGGTTTACTGGTTTATTCTAGACTTTAACAATATTTCGAAGATCTTATATATTTTTTAACTTCGTTTTGAAATTATCGATCATGCCGAAAAAAAAACTGTCATCGGCCTGTAAACTAAGACAATTAGTAAAGGAATTTGGTGAAAATATATTCTCGGCCGACAATAAAATATTATTTTGTAAGGTTTGCGAAGTAGAAGTAAAACGCTTTAGTGTTGTGCGACATATTAATGCTGAGAAACACAAAACATCACTTCACCGACTGCAATATAATAAAATATAAATTTTAATAAACTTTTAATAAAATGAATGGACATTTTTTGTTATTCCAAAATTTACTTATAGTATTTTTATTTTTTAATCTACATATTTTTGATACATATTTTTAGACTTTTAGGGCATATAAATGCATATTTTTCCAGCTTTTAGTGCATAAGTGCATACTTATTTAGGCATTTTTTAGAGCATGAACTCACTAGCCCTGAATTAATAACTATGCACAAGGGGAATTGGTTTTATGTTACGTAGTAACTTGCTTAATACATTAGTAACAAGCTTCTTAACTACTAAACTGTTTATTGTACTTATTATTTCATTTTGTATATCAGGACGGATGTACATTGCATTTTTTGGAACATTTTCAAATATTTTTTTAAATTCATCATTGCTATTCATAAGACCATATTTTAATATTACTCTGAAATTGCCCTCATTATTGGAAAGGAATAAAGAACTTAAATCAATATGACCACTGTCTGTATGTCCCCTAAGAGCAATACCTTGTCAACCACAGAGTAAGATTGTTTCTATTATTGGTCTTAACATTTGTCTATTTTTTTAAATTTCTAATTTTAGTTTAGAATCAAGTTTAACAGCAATACTTTGTTGTATATTTTCAAATGCACACAAATATTCATGCGCTTTTATAGTGGCAGTTATATGATAATTTGTTTTTTGATGGGCATTAAACTTTTCTACAGCACAGTTCCAATTGCTAAATTTTTCAAAGACAAGTTGACCAAGTTTTTGAGTGTTGACTTCTTTTGGACAAAACAACATACAATACTTGCAAAAAGCACCATCACAAACTTCTGAATAAGCCAACCATTTCCATCCATGAAGCCAATTAATTTGAAATTTAAGATTCCGTTTACCACTACCAGGAAATTTAAACGACTTAACAGGATTAAATGTGTTCTTTAAAATATCATACCGCTGAGAAGAGTTAACCTAAAAATAAAACCACTGGTTGGGTAGGTGGAGTTACAGTAGTTTTTCGTTGCTTTCAAAGAAGAACCACCATATTATTCAAATATTAACTGCCGAAAAATAAAAGTAAGTAATAAATTCATGTACCTACCTACCTTTATTTTAAATTAAAATGTTTTCGTTAACTGGATATGTCTTAATATTAACACATAAATACAATTACGTCAATTTGAATTTCCTTACCCATATATCTTACGATTTTTAGTAAAATTTTTATTGGTGTTCCATACAAAAGTTATTTTATAATCGAGTTTAAATCATAGTAATATTTTTTGAACTATAGTACAGTATTAAAATAATAAAATTAACATATAACTTAATTTATTTAAACGCAAGTGTTCTAAAAAACATACATAACTTATTATAAGTGTTTCAGGATTCACATCATACTGACGTTTTGTGAAAAATGTCAATATTAAAATAATAAAATCAATTTAATATTAACATGAAAACAAATTCATATTACAACCTATTCAAAAAATATTTGTAAATCATTTCAATTTCTAAATAAATTAGGAAAATATTTGTGTTTTTAATAGTGTATTAACAACTTAATTTGCTTGAAACATACCGCAAAAATTAAAATATTAATAATATTTAAACATTTTAAAGTAATTTAAAACCTCAATTCGTCTATTCTAATTTTCATTCCAAATTATTGAACAAGTTATGTTGAAATATACAATTAATATGTAGTATATGTAGTCAGCCTTGACACGTGTGTACAATATAGTAACTAGTTATGTACGAGCATAAGACTCACTCTCTTTACGGATGTAACATGACCTCGGTCGTGCATATAAATAGGGCCTTTGATGTATGTAATATTGACTTGCACAGACGCTGTCATACCGAGTGTACGCGGTGTGTGTGTATAGTCACAGGTTAATTGTCCAGTTGTACGTTATTATATATTATACTTATACATAATCATATTGTCGTGTTATTCCTTATTATATTAATGCTAACATCATTAGTCCGTCAAGCTTCACTTTCAACAGGTTATGGGCCCAGTCAATAACCAAGACATACAGTCTAGTGGATTCATGATCGAAGTATTTTTATATCTGTATTAACGCAGAAAACTACAACCAGTCGGAGATATCCTGGATTTCGGAAAACGGCGGAACAGTGTACATAGGTAAAGTTTTGTTATAAATTGTTATACAGGAAAGTATACGGGAATCCATCGGTCATGGAAGACACGGTGAAGATAACAAAATTATGTGCGGAAAACTGGTCGTTATGGAAGTTCCAGATGAAGGTCATTTTAAATGCCTTGGAAGTAGGTGAGATAGTTTCAGGTGAATGGACGAAACCAGGTCTACCTATAAAAAAGTCGGCAGGAGAGACCGACGAGGAAGCCAAAGCACGTTGGCAAAGGCATACAAACGCTTGGCAAAAAGCGGACGGTAAATGTCAGAAAATAATAGTTACCTCAGTGGACGATGGTCCATTACAATATTTGATTAACTGTGAGACTGCATTGGAAATGTGGGAGAAACTGCTGAGTATTTACGAGCAGAAGTCTGAGGCAAGTATACATTTGCTTCAACAACAATTTTTCAGTTATTCAAAGGAGTCGACAGATGACATGTCGACGCATATTTCTAAATTGGTCAATTTAGGAAGGAAACTGAGTGTAGCGGGTGAACCAGTTACGGATAACATGGTTATGACAAAAATACTAATGACACTACCAAAAGAATATAATCATTTTTACAGTGCTTGGGATTCAGTCCCGACGGGAAGTAAAAATATAAATAATTTGACTAGTCGATTGTTGATTGAAGAATCACGGGTTATCCAGATCAAAGGTGAAGTTGGTGAACAAGAGAAATCGAGTGCATTTCCGGCCAAATTTCAAAACAGATCTGATGGAAGAAACGGCAGTCGTAATTATGGAAAAGGTAAAAATCAATTTTCGAATAAAAGTAATATTAAGTGTTATTACTGTGGTAAACTAGGTCATTATAAAAGAGACTGTAGAAATTTTCTACAAAGTGTACACGGTGGTAAAACCGGTACTATAGGTGCGAACTTGAACGCATTCGTAAGCGAGTCAAGTATAAATAATATTGCAACAGATGCGTGGGTACTAGACTCGGGCGCGTCGGATCATATGAGCGCAAATCGAGAGTGGTTTTCAAGTTATGAACCACTGGACAACACGCAACAAATCACGATAGGTGACGGAACAAATCTATATGCAACAGGAAAAGGTAATATTAATATATTATCATACGTGAACGGTAATTGGAATAAAAATTACTTGGCAAATGTATTGCACGTGCCGGGATTAAAATTTAATTTATTCTCGTGCGGAGCCGCGATGGATAAAGGTTTAGTAATGACTTCAGATAGTAAGACGTGTATGTTAACTAAACAGGGGAAACCCGTATGCTCAGGTAAGAGATGCGGAAGGTTGTTTGAGTTAAACATCAAGGTCGAAGTACCGACAAACGGGTACGCGACGGTAGCTGTAAACAAAGTCGTAAATCATTTAGTAAAAGTAATACGGAGTATCACAATGTCGGTGATTTAATTCATGC